TAGCTATATCTGAACCGATTTCGATCAAATTTGGCATACTTATTTTCAGGCCTAATTTGGTTGTATGTGCAAAATCCCATACTATTAGGGCTTATATTACACCTTTGGTGCACAATAAAAGGCAAATCGGACGAAGATATATATGGGAGCTATATCTAAATTTTGAGCGATTATCTCCAATTTCAATAGGCTTAGTCCTTGGGCCAAACAAATGTTGTTTGGAAAATTTCATCTCAATCGGATAATAAATGCGACCTGCTTTTTTTCACAAAAATACATGGACAGACGGACGGAGGGACATGCATAAATCGACTCAGAATGTGATTCTATGCAGACCATCAAAAGGAACTATGGGTCTATCTCGTTTCCTTTTGCCTGTTACAAACAAATGCACAAAGACATAATACCCTGACCACCTTGTGGTGTAGGGTATCAAAATCGGAAAAATATAATAAAATTAGGGTCTCGCTTAGAACTTTAGATTTCCGAACTATTTCTCCAACATCGAACTTTTATTTATATAAAAATAATCTCTCTCTACTCCTGACTTTTATTTTTCCCATATAATTTCTTGACTCCCTTTAAGGTCCTCTTCTATGTTGTTTCCTCTTCCCATTTATGGAAATGCCAGAAAAATGGCTCCTTAACAAGAACTCCTAAACATCCATTCAACCATCCATCGATCTAATTCGTGTGGTGTTCAAAGAATTTGCTGTTGTTTGTTTCTCTTCTTTTCTTTTGTTGTTGTTGTTTTTTTTTTGCTTATTCCGCATTTGTGATTTGTATGCAACTCATGTTACAAATTCTACACATTACAATTGTTAATGTTGTTGTTGCTGCTGTTATTGTTGTAATACCAATTTTCAAGGGTGGTCGTTGGGAAAGTTGTGGCATAAAAATAGTCGTTCTTGTTGTGAGAAGACAGGATTGTAGGATGTATGTAACTTATTTCCGGTAAATTATCCATGGTTGTGGATAATTCATCAAGGACTGGGAAAAAAGGTTTTTCCATCACTTCTTCACTGGAGATTAGAAATTATCGCCAGAAGGAGAATGTGAAAAATTATATATGAGAGAGCATAAATATATTCTGTTATTTCGACATTTATCGATGAAATATTACACTGTGCGACAAAATTAAAGATCCACTCCTCTTCCACATTTTTTGAAATTTTAAGTTAAGGATTCCTTGGAATCCGTCGATTTTAGATATCTAGTGTCCGGGCCAATATTGCAGTTAAAAATACGAGGATTACTTTGTTTAAACATTTTAAACCTCAAGCGAGTCGCACAATGGGCCTTTTTGGTCCTTTTTTCGAATTATGCTTAAAAAATGTTTTATCCACGTTTGTGGATAAAAATATTATCCACGTTTGTGGATAAAAATATTATCCACGTTTGTGGATAAAAAATATTATCCACATTTGTGGATAAAACTATTATCCACATTTGTGGATAAAATAATATTATCCACGTTTGTGGATAAAATAATATTATCCACGTTTGTGGATAAAATAATATTATACACGTTTGTGGATAAAATAATATTATATACGTTTGTGGATAAAAATATTATCCACGTGTGTGGATAAAAATATTATCCACGTTTGTGGATAAAAATATTATCCACGTGTGTGGATAAAAATATTATCCACGTTTGTGGATAAAAGTACTACTTTTGTGGATAAAAATTTTTATCCGCGTTTGCGGATAAAAATATTATCCACGTTTGTGGATAAAAATATTATCCACGTTTGTGGATAAAAGTACTACTTTTGTGGATAAAAATTTTTATCCGCGTTTGCGGATAAAAATATTATCCACGTTTGTGGATAAAAATATTATCCACGTTTGTGGATAAAAATATTATCCACGTTTGTGGATAAAAATATTGTCCACGTTTGTGGATAAAACTGTTATCCACGTTTGTGGATAAAAATATTATCCACGTTTGTGGATAACAAATATTATCCACGTTTATGGATAAAATATATTATAAACGTTTGTGGTTAAAAAATTATAAATGTTTCCACAAACGTGGATAAATCTAATCAACGTTTGCGGATAAAAATATTTTACACTTTTGTGGATAAAAATGTTATCAACGCATTTATGGATTAAAATATTATCCATGTTTGTGGATAAACATCTTATCCACGTTTGTGGATAAATATTTTATCCACGTTTGTGGATAATTAAATTATTCACGTTTGTGGATAGAAATATTATCCACGTTTGTGGATAGAAATATTATCCACGTTTGTGGATAAAAATTTTATTCACTTTTGTGGATAAAAATTTTATCCACTTTTGTGGATAAATATTTTATCCACATTGGCGAATAAAAATTATTATTCACATTTGTGGATACATATTTTATCCACATTTGCGGATATTATCCACGTTTGTGGATAAAAATATTATCCACATTTGGGGATAATAATTATTATCCACGTTTGTGGATAATAATTATTATCCACGTTTGTGGATAAATATATTATCCACGTTTGTGGTTAAATATATTATCCACGTTTGTGGATAAAAATATTATCCACGTTTGTGGATAAAAATATTATCCACGTTTGTGGATAAAAATATTATCCACGTTTGTAGATAAAAATATTATCCCCATTTGTGGATAAATATTTTATCCACGTTTGTGGATAAAAATATTATCCACGTTTGTAGATAAATGTTTATCCACGTTTGTGGATAAATGTTTTATCCACGTTTGTGGATAAATATTTTATCAACGCGTTTGTGGATAAATAATTTATAAACGTTTGTTTATAAAAATATCCACGTTTGTGGATAAAAATATTATCCACGTTTGTGGATAAATGTTTTATCCACGTTTGTGGATAAAAATATTATCCACGTTTGTGGATGAAAATGTTATCCACGTTTGTGGATAAAAATATTATCCACGTTTGTGGATAAAAATGTTATCCACGTTTGTGGATAAAATATTATCCACGTTTGTGGATGAAAATGTTATCCACGTTTGTGGATAAAAATATTATCCACGTTTGTGGATAAAAATGTTATCCACGTTTGTGGATAAAAATATTATCCACGTTTGTGGATAAAAATGTTATCCACGTTTGTGGATAAAAATATTATCCACGTTTGTGGATAAAAATATTATCCACGTTTGTGGATAAAAATATTATCCACGTTTGTGGATAAAAATATTATCCACGTTTGTGGATAAAAATATTATCCATGTTTGTGTACAAAAATATTATCCATGTTTCCACAAACGTGGATAAAAATATTAAATATGTTATCCACGTTTGTGGATAAAAATATTATCCACGTTTGTGGACAAAATTATTATTCTCGTTGTAGATAAAAATATTATCCACGTTTGTGGACAAAATTATTATTCTCGTTGTAGATAAAAATATTATCCACGTTTGTGGATAAAAATATTACTCACGTTTTTGGATAAAAATATTATCCACGTTTCTGGATAAATATATTATCCACGTTTGTGGATAAAAATTATTATCCACATTCGTGGATAAATATATTATCCACATTTGTGGATAAATATATTATCCATTTTTGTGGATAAATATATTATCCACGTTTGTGAATAAAAATATTATCCACGTTTGTGGATAAAAATATTATCCACGTTTGTGGATAAAAAATCTTATCCACGTTTGCGGTTATAAAATTTAATCTACGTTTGAGGATAAAAATATTATCCACGTTTGTGGATAAAAATATTATCACGTTTGTGGATAATAATTTTTATCCATATTGGTGGATAAAAATTTTATCCATGTTTGTGTATAAAAATATTATCGACATATGTGGATAAAAATATTATCCACGTTTGTGGATAAATGTTTATCCACGATTGTGGATAAATGTTTTATCCACGTTTGTGGATAAAAATTTTATCCACATTTGGGGATAAAAATATTATCCACGTTTGTGGATAAATGTTTTATCCACACTTGTGGATAAAAATATTATCCACGTTTGTGGATAAATGTTTTATCCACACTTGTGGATAAAAATACTATCCACGTTTGTGGATAAAAATATTATCCACGTTTGTGGATAAAAATATTATTCACGTTTTTGGATAAAAATATTATCCACGTTTGTGGATAAATATATTATCCACGTTTGTGGATAAAAATTATTATCCACATTCGTGGATAAATATATTATCCACATTTGTGGATAAATATATTATCCATTTTTGTGGATAAATATATTATCCACGTTTATGGATAAAAATATTATCCACATTGGCGGATAATAATTATTATCCACGTTTGTGGATAAAAATATTATTCGCGTTTGTGAATATACATTTTGTCCAAATTTGTGGATAAAAATATTATCCACGTTTGTGGATAAATATTTTATCCACGTTTGTGGATAAATATATTATCCCCATTTATGGATAAATATTTTATCCACTTTTGTGGATAAACATATTGTCCACTTTTGTTGATAAATATATTATCCACGTTTGTGGATAAATATGTTATCCACATTTGTGAATAAAAATATTATCCACGTTTGTGGATAAAAATATTATCCACGTTTATTGGTAAAAAATTATCCACAATTCTGGATAATAAATTATCTACGCTAATGAATAATAATTTATCCATTGTTTTTTTTTTTTTTTTTTTGAACTCCATAGAAGTTCGAAAATTCATAAAATCCTCTTTGAGTCCTCCTTGAAATGTCATCAAAATCAAAATGATTTTGAAAATATTTCGCCCTTTCCATAATGATTTCCCATCTAAAATATTTCAAATATTTGATATTTTTATGATTATTAAAAATATCGATGGTTTTTTGTTCCTTCTCGGAGAATAAAAAAAGACCTCAAACGACATCGTATTTAGAATAATAACAAGAAATGAAGGTTGAAAAACAGTCAAGCAAAACAAAATGGGTAAAAAATAAAAACAAAAAACGAAACGAAATGGAAATGGAGGAAGAAAAAAAATAATTATATTTACCGTGAGCCTTCTTCTTTCTAGATTTCGGCGCCATGTCTACGAGTTTTCAATTCGTAAAACAACAACAATAACGACGAGTGGTGGCAGCAGCAATCGATGAAGCAAAGAAGCGAACGAACGAAACGCTTTGAATTCAAGATGAGGAGAATGTGTCCCAAGGAATATGTCGACGTTTGAACGTTGGCAGCGGCGACACCAGTGATGATCAGTCAGGGCAGAGGACTTGGCTGGAGGATGGTTGCCTTGGTGAGTGTCTCGAAACAACAACACCAACTACAATCAGCCAAGTAATCAGTTGGCCAACAAGAAATGGGTTCAGGCCAACAGGCAAGGCTGGCTGGCTGGTTGCTTGCTTATGATCGCCAAGAAAGGTTGTGAGGATATTTTGCTGTTGATTCCGTCTTTTGTTTTGATTCTTTGTTTTGTTCCTATATTCTTGTGGGCCACATGATCATAACAATTGCCAATAAAGTAGCCATTTTTCGGGGGGGGGAGCAGAAGAATCGGAGGCAGAATGTAGTAAAGCCTTTGGGGGACAGGCTCTCTCAACCAGCAACGAATTGTTGCACGATCTTTGTTGTCCTCTTCGAGAGATGTGAATGTGTGGAGGGCCTTCACCAAGTCCCTGGCTAAGGTTGTCTTAAGAAAAACCGGATTTTCTGTGCCTTACTGCGGGATTGTAAACACAACAGAAATGTGCTGCTCGCTCCTCTCTGTCGTTGCGGATGATGACGATGAAGATAATGATAATGCTGGACAGAGGCGGCTCAATAACAATAACAACAAGAACGTAAATGCTTGGTGCGCAGGCGCACACACAGCTTCAGTGTTTTGAGATGACCGAACCAAAGAAAGAAGTTATGGCCTTCTTGGCGTCAATGTTTTGTGGCGTTGTTGTTGTAGGTCGTCTTGTGCTCCGGCACAAAGGCTAGATATTAAAACAATCCTTGTGGCAAAAAAAAAAAACTGGAGGATATTTCTGCAATTTTTTGTTGTTCTCCTTGCTTAGTATTGTTGTTGTTGCTCGTTAGCTGGCTGGCATCAAGCTTTGGTTTATGGGATCTTTGTTTTGTTCCCTTTCTTTTGTTTTCGCTGCAGATTTATGCTGAAATTTTGAGTTCACAGCTTTTTTCCAAGCGTTTGTTCCCCTTCGTTTTTTTGTTGCGGATTTTGTAAAAAAAACCGATGGAAGTGATGTGATTGTTGTTATGCTTCCTCTTATTCTTATAGAAATTGTTGTTGTTGTTGATGGTGGTGGTGGAAAAGAACCTGGTCTACACTTGGTGTGAGCTCGTGATCACGTTGAGTATAATTATAGACGAAAGGTGGCGATATTTACGACAACAACACCAACAACAATGACGCTGAGGATGGCGACGAGGTTTGTCAGAGTCCGTAATTCCCTGGGGGTGGGAGAGGGGATTGTTGCCGGCAAAGGGTTTTTAAAGCTGGGCAAAAAAATCAGGTGAAATTTAATCCACTGGGGAGAGCTGTGTGGCTACGGCTGCGATGCACTGGAATAGTTTGCCAACACCCCAAGCCAACGCTGCTGAATGCTTTTGGAGAAGAAAAAAAAAACACAACACAACTCACAATAAATGCTAAGTTTAATACTTGTTGTTGTTGTTTTTGTTTCGGCAGGTATTACGTTAACATTTACGCTTCGTGTGATTTGTTGTCAGTGATGATGGTGATGAGGGCCTCGGTGCAGGGTAATAATAGGTGTTATTGTTGTTGTGTTTTTTTTGTTTTTTACAAAAAGGGCTTAGAACGTTTTTGTGGTTTCTTTGGCCGTTTGTTGTAGTTGTTTTATGTTACTGCTTTTGTTGTTGTTGCATTATTTGCAGATTATTTGTATGCCAACACTTAACAGATATTTTCTTTCTTCTGTTTATTTTCTTTCTATTTTCTTTGCTGCACTTTTGTGTTTATTTTTTTTTTTGTTTTTATTTTTCCATTCCACAACAGAAATTTTTCCGCTCTTTTTTCGTGGCAGATTTTTTTCTCTTTTTTCTTTTTTATTTAATGGGATTTTTTTTTAATTATTTTTTTTTTTAATTTTCTCTCTTCAATATTTGCCTAGGAATAAAAAAAACATTTGTTATTAATTTTTGTCACGAAATAGATATTTTTTTTTTGCTACTTTTTTTTGGCTAATTTATTTTATTTGCTTTTAAACACTTGAATATTGCCATAAATGTTTTTGCCATATTTGCAATATTTTTTTCGGCAATTTTTTTTTTTTTTTTTTGATTTTGTTTTCGTTTTGATTTGTCGAGTAATTTTTTTGTCGGTGGCTCCTCCTTCTACTCCATGGAAATATATGATTGAGATTTCTTTAAAATACATTTTTTTGAATTATTTTAGCAACAACTTTTGTTGTTTTTAGAGTTCTTGGCTTAACTTTAGCTAAGGAAAAACAACTAGGATTTTTTGGAAATTATTTGCAGAAACAGGTATTTGTAACCTTATTCCGGGAACAAATTTTTACCGAAAATCCGGGTCCAAGACCAAGGTTAGACCCTGATCTACTAATACACCATTTGAAGGCTAATGAGAGACAATGTACCATTTGATGGCTAATGAAAATTCCTATCCACATAGCGTATAGGGAATTAAAAATTTTTTTCCCGGATTTTTATAAAACCCCAAAAAAAGCCCCTATATGGAGGTCTATAAAAAAATATATATAAAATTGACAGCCTAACTTTTCAAAAAATTCCAGAGTTTTTACGAAACTAGAATAGGTCCGAATAATTCTGATGACAAATCTATGGGTTCAAGCTAGGATTTCTAAATCATATTATCGAAGAAAGCCAAGAGCTATAATAGCGGATTTTTTTTAAGGAATTTCGTTACATTAAATCCAGATTCATAAATTTTTAACTACATTTTTTTTTTGATCAGGATTTTGGATACGTATTTAGTCCTAATCGCAGATTTATAAAATATAAAAAATTGTTTAAAAAATAAAAAAGAAATTCAAATCAATATTTTCGAATATTTTATTAAATTCCTTTAAAATTATTGTCGTTGTTGGATTTTTGAAAAATATTTTTTAGAAATCCAGAATTATAATGGTGAATTTTCTGAAATATATTTCTTAAACGAGTCCCAGAGTTATTATTGCGGATCACAAAATTTGTTTAAGTCATTTTTTATTTAGAAAATGAATTTTGTTTTAAAATCAAAATTATAGCCATATTCGAACCTAAGAAAAAAACAGTAAAAAAGGTCTTTAAGTCGGGCGGGGTCGACAATATGATAACCTACACCACTCTGCTAATTTAGTAGAGCTCCGCATAACAATTAAAAGTTTTTATGCGAGAATTCCATCATACACGCTATGATTATAATTATAATTTAAAGTCCAAAGGACTAAATATGCCGAAGCATTTGTATCTTTTAAATTCGGAAGTGTATTGCCCATTTGGTGCAACATTAATTTGAAATCAGATAAAGATATATATGGGAGCTATATCCAAATCGGAACCGATCTCGATAAAATTTGGCAAATATATTTCTGAGTTGTATTTCATATATTTCCCTGAATATCGTTGTTAGGGAGTGCATATTACGGCTGTGAGTAACAAATATAACAAATCGGATGAACAGTATATATGGGAGCTATAGCTATAATATTAAACGTTTGGTGCACAATAAAAAGTAAATCGGACGAAGTTATATATGGGAGATACATCCAAATCCGAACCGATCTCGATCAAATTTAGCAAAGGTATTTCTGAGTTGCATTTTTGATATTTTTCCCTAAATATTGTTGTTACTGAGTGCATATTACGGCTGCGGAGGACAAAAATAACAAATCGGATGAACAATATACATGGTAGCTATAGCTATACCTGAACCGATTTCGCTCAAATTTGGCATACGTATTTCTAGGTTTAATTTGGTCGTATGTGCCAAATTCCATCCCATTTGGGCAAATATTAGACGTTTGGTGTACAATAAAAAGTAAATCGGACGATGTTATATATGGGAGTTATTTCCAAATCTAAGCCGATCTCGATAAAATTTAGCAAATGTATTTCTGACCTGCATTTGATATATTTCCCCAAATATTGTTGTTACAGAGTGTATATTACGGCTACGGAGGACAAAAATAACAAATCGGATGAACAATATATAAGGGAGCTATAGTTATATCTGGTTATATCCGATTTCGATCAAATTTGGCATACTTATTTTTAGGCCTAATTTGGTTGTATGTGCAAAATTCCATACTATTCGGGCTGATATTACACGTTTGGTGCACAATAAAAGCAAATCGGACGAAGATATAACAAATGATTTGTGCAAAATTACATTTGGATCGGGTAATAAATGCGAACTGTACTTTGTTCACAAAAATACATGGACAGACTGACGGACGGACAAGCATAAATCGACTCAGAATGTGATTCTATGCAGATCATCAAAAGGAACTATGGGTCTATATCGTTTCCTTTTGCCCGTTACAAACAAATGCACAAAGACATAATACCCTGATCACCTTGTGGTGTAGGGTATAATTAAGTCAACTCAAGAGCCCAAAACTTTTACGTAGGAATTACTGCCGATCAATAAGGTTTTTTTTTTTGGATTAAAATTGCAACTTTGTTTCATAGTTTATTTGAAATCCTTTCTGAACTATAATCGAGGATTTTCCTATGAATTTGCTTGATTTTTTTGTCTTTTTGGTAATTTTTAAAAAATAAGGTTAAATATTCTCTCTAACCGGGATCGTAGCAAGTCAAAATATTCTACAAATTTATTGACCAAAAAATTCTAGAAGACGTAAAATTGTAAATATTTTCTAAACGCTAAAACACAATTTTTGGATTAAAACCGTACCTTGTGTGAGTTTGTGCAAAACCCTAGAACAAAACATCATTTTAGAAGGATGACGTCAAAGACAAAAATATTCTTTATCAAATTCTACTATAAGTCACCAAAGAAAAGAAAACTCTATTTCCATTGTATACCAAAAAAATATATATTCCAAAAAAAAAAAAAATATTTTCTAATTTTTTTTTTTTTGAAAAAATTTACTTTGGACTTTTTTCAAATTGACACCTGAAAGCAATTTAAAATTTCATTTTAGACAAAAGTTATTAAAAGAAGAAATATTCTATACAAAATTTCACTATAAATCTCAGAATAAACCATACATCTAGATACAATAGTTTTTGTGAAAATTACATTCGAAATTCATCTACTAAAAATGCAAGATTATGCGTTTTCAATCCAAGTCAAAATCTACCAAAGAGTTTCGGATTCTTAGGCCAAACATTGTAGTCTTGACCATATACAAAGAACCTTTATAGTTTGAGATATATTTCGCAGAATTTAGGATATACCTTCGATATTTGAGAGATATCTTTGGATTTCGTTCATAATAAATTGCCCACTTTTAGGAATAGTCTCCATGTAATATTTTAAGTTTTTTTTCCTTTTTGGTTATAATTTCCAGAAAATGTTGCCAAATTTCGACATTTTGAGCTCCTATATTGTAGAAACGCAATTTACAACAAAATTATCAATATATCTTAACCATATTTTCCAATCGATTTGAATGGAAATTATTATAAGGGATGCCTACAATTTAATTTTTTCTCAATAAATCCGCTTGTAGTCGTACAATTTTGCTAATATCCAAATTAAGTGAGGGAAGGAATAAGGGTGCAATTGATAAATTAGTTAAGCATCAACGTAATTACAATTCCAACTGTTCAATTTTATGGGGGTAGGCAAGTGAGAGTAAAATCTTTAAGTATTGATTATTTTGGGGGGGTTTTTACAAAAAACGTTTGTCAAGCTGAAAATGGGGGTTGGTGGTTGATTGCACATCCCATATGAAATTATGACGTCAGCATCACTATGTGCCAAAAGTCGCTAAGAGCTAATTTTATTGCAAATAACCTAAAATGAATCTTCTAATATAATTATAAATTGGAAATAAACTCCAGCTTTGTCCCAATTTGACATTTTATCTCATTCTAAATAACTTTTTTTTTTTTGTGAAAGATTATTATATCCCTCAAATGGCCAAACTTTCGCATAATTTGCAAACCGATTGCATGTTGGGAACCCATGAATATTTAATAAAAAAAATATTTTTGAAAAAATGTCTTCGCCATACATTTTTTTAATATTGGTTTTCGTCTTGACTTATGACCCATGTAAGGGTACCCTCCACTTCTTGAAGATCGCAATCAAATTTTCAAAAAAAAAAAAAATACAATTTGTTCAAAATAGGTCCATGTTTTTTGGTTTTGGTATTTCAAAGTTTAAAAAATTCGGCTTTAATTTAGAATTCCCAATTTAGAACTTTGAAATGATTTTATGTTTCAATTTACATCTTAATTTTCGTATAATAACAAGTAAAAAAAGCATTATGTTTAATACCCTCCACCTTCGGATGAAGGAAACATTAGAACCCATTATGGCCCACAACTACCAATTTTTAGACATATTCGTGGATGGAAATGTAGCAAAAATCATCAAAATACCGAATATCGGGAGGTTCCATTACATGGGGCTATACCAAAGCGAAGACCTATACAAACAATGTTTCGCCACACGAACTAGGACCCATTATGACCTACAAATACCAATTTTTAGACAAATCCATGAAAAAATATGGCAAAAATCATCAAAATATCGAATATCAGGAGGTATCGTTATATGGGGGCTATACCAAAAATGGCCCAACATGACCCATTTTCAATACCAAAAGTCCTGCTGACATAATATACATTTGAGTACAATTTTATCAACCTACTTCATTTCGTTCGGAAGCAAGAGTGATTTCCACAGAAGGACAGACGGAAGGACATCGCTAAATCGACATAGAATTGTATGCTGTTCCAGAATATTTGTGAGTTTTAAATTGTATATTTGGAGGTGCTACCCTCCATACTATGGTGGAGGGTATAAAAATGCACAAAGACATAATACCATGTACCACAGTCAGGCTATCGTAGGGTAAAAAAAGTGAGCGGTATCATTATATGACCGATATACACAATTTTCCGCTACAGGAGTTCGTTCGTTTCAAATATCTGATTTGAGACAAATCCATGGGAAAATGTAGCTATAGTCATCAAAATAGTGAATATCGGGTGGTACCGTAATATGGAGGAGGCTACAGGAAAACGTGGACAATAGTCTACCACAAAATATAAGCCATTGCAAAACAAAATAAATAAAAAAATAAAGTGGCCTAAATGTTTACAATACCGAATATCTGAAGGTGCAGTTATATGAGGGCTCGTAGGGACCCATATAGACAATGTTCTGCCAAAATATTTAGAAATCCTCTAAATGTCAAATTTGAAAAAAAATGTTTCTAAAATCCGGAGAACGTGGACCTATATAGACCGTGTTGTGTCATAGGAGGCACAACCCATTACAAACTCCAAATAAAATTTAAACTACATTCGGAACAAATCCAGATAAACAGTATTGTTGTTTGCAAATCTGCCCCCACCCCACATTCATAAAGCACTGGTGGAGGTTTCTTGACCATTTTCAAAATGGGCCAGATGGTTTTGACAAATAGTTTCCATTATATCGCGAAGTGTATTTCATAACTAATGGAGGGATGGAGTTCCCCACTGGAAATTTAATAATCTTTAGTCCAATTACTTATTGTTTCAGAGGCTGGATTCTGAGTCTTTTTTCGATATCAGATTCTTTGAAAACTATTCCTGAAATGCTTAGACCACAAATCTAATTTTTTCAGCATCTGATGTGTGGGCCGCATAAAAGCAATTTTTTCGAGACATTTCAAAAAAATCCAAACACCACAATTTTGACACAAAAAATATCCACAAAAATCTCCACAAAATTCCATTGATAAAAAAAATTCAATGTTCCGAAGTTTCAGAGGCTGGGTTCTGAGTCTTTCCCGATATCAGGTTCTCTGAAAACCATGCCTGATATGCGTAGTCAAAAAAATTAGTTTTTTCAGCCTCTGATGTGGGCCTCATAAATCCAATTTTTTCGAGACATTTCAAAAAAAAAAACAAAACATCAAAAATTTGACAGAAAACAAGTATCCACCAAATTCCATTGATAAAAAATTAAATGTTCCTAAGAGGAATTCCTTACTGTTTCAGAAGCTGGGTTCTGAGTCTTTTCTTTGAAAACTATTCCTGAAATACTTTGCCAAAAAAGTCATTTTTCAGCCTCTAATGTGGGCCGCATAAATCCAATTTTTTTTCGAGACATTTCAAAAAAAAATCCAAACATTAAAAATTTGACAGAAAAAAAATATATCCACAAAAATCTCCACCAAATTCCATTGATAAAATTCAATGCCTATCCGGAATATGGTGATGTCGGCGACGCGTTGTTGGTTATGGCGGGGCGGCAATTGGACATGGACGGTGTTGATAATGAGCATTGATTTCTGGCGGTTGTTGTTGTTGTTGGGGTTATTTTCACATGCTTATTATTTTTGTTCTTGTTGTTGTAACAACTCTCAAAAATTGTAGTGTATTTTTGTTGCTGGCGGTGGCGGTATTTTTTTGTTTTGCTTTTTTTATTGAAACGTCTTTGAAAAAAAATATTTTCGATATTTTTAGCTATAACAACAACGCCGCCGACGACGACGACGACACACGTTTCGACGACTATTGTCGGGCCAGCTATCTACGCATGAATTTATGTTTGTAGGGCTGGCTGGCGGGCTGACTAGCTGACTGTCAGGGAACACAACCCAACATTTAGTACACAATAAATATTTTGGGTATTTTTTTTTTCGTTTTTTGTTGTTGATTCGGCTAAATTTCCAATAACAATAATGCTCTTCAATAATGGAAAAAAAGTTGAGTTGAACACAAACACACACACACACAGTTTTATTTATTTTCCATGGGCAGAAGAATATTATTTTTATTTTCTTTTTTGTTGCTGTTGTTTAATTCAACTATTTTGTTATTATTTTTTTTTGTTGTTTTTCCGTTTTTTCATTTTTCTGTTTTTTTTTTCTTCTCTTCTTTCGTTGTTTTGTAAGTGAGATTTTTCCACAAAGTTAACCAGAAACACATGTAGGTATCTTTACAACGGCCAGATACATTTGCTTAAATGTATCTCGAACTAAACGTTTTAGGAATAGGTAATAACGGTGATTATTCTTAATATTATTTCTACTATTTTTAGTGTTGTTGTTTTTTTCTTTATTTATTTTATTTTTATTTATTTATTTATTTTTTTTTTTTTTTGTAAAACAATTTCAACCGGCAGTATTTAAATTCATTTTGTTGTAATCTTTTTTCCATATCGTAATTTATTTTTTTTCTGTATTTTATTTCTCTATATCACATTCTGGTATTGTTGTTATTGTTATACTTTTTTTTTTAACCAAGTAAACACAATTTTTTTATTATTTTTTGTTAATATTTCAATTTTTAATATTCCATACTTTGCATTGAATTTTTTTCTGCTGAGATATTGAATTTATTTTTCCAATATTTTTTCTTTTTCGATTTTTTTTAATAAAATAAATAATTCTACTTTTGGCGTTATGGCGGAACAACCAAAGGAAACATACGACGACAACGATGGTTACGATAAAAACGACAACGAAAACGAAATAGACGACGATGCGCTAACTACGTCATGACATACGTACAACACATCAGGTACTAAATGCAACAGGCCGGACGATTTGAGAAATACTCCAACAAAACACCACCAGCACCAGGCAATGGCACACAAACAAAAACCGAGAAATAAACGCTATAGCAACAACAACAACACGAAAACCCAATGCCCATCGTGTTGTTGTTGTTGCCATCGTTGTAGTCAATGATAAAGATTTCCTCTTGTGTACGTTGTGTGGAAACAAAACAAACCCACGAACATAAAAATCTCATGGCCTCTCAGCGGCTGCAGTGTGTGGGTAAATTTTCATTTCTCCCTCTCACGGAGAGGCAAAGAGATTTTTAACTCTCGCAGATGGGGCCAAGTGCTGTGATTAACGTTTAACTAAAACAGGTTTAGTTGGTTGGTGATGAGTACAGCGAGAGTAAATAAATAAATATGGGAATTGCGCACTAAGCGGTATGCTCTCATTTTATGTTGGGAGAGAGAGAAAGAGTAAAAGAGAAGTTGAGAGAGTTGGAAATAATCTTTTAGATAAAAATAACAATTCATGAGATGCATATAAATGCCCTATAACCGGCCAAAGAATTATACTTGGAAGATTATTTCAAGACCAAGTACAATTTATAACGTACGACAAGTACTTAAAGGTACTAAATATTATGCCGTTTGGCATTCGATGAAAGAACATAAACAACAATTTAATGCAATTAATGGAGCTTAGATGTTGGTCAAGAGAACTTTGAGAATGGATGTACAATAGGAAGTTTGTTAAAAAATGTACAGAATGTACCAAACGGTACCAAATATTATTCCGAGTTAGGGAAATTTGATGCACGTGTACAGGGTGAGATGAAAAAACTGCAACCAACTTCAGACTGTTGTACTTTCTAAGCCACTCGTCCGACAGCTGTTAAAATTTATCCAGTGACAGATCATTATGTTGTCTACAAGCGTACAAAAGCTTTTTGGTGAGAATATTCCAGAAAAAAAGTTATTCGTGATAATGTGATTTCTTTATATTTGGCTGGAAAACCACAAGTGACTACCGTTAGAGCACTCCGGCATTTAAATGTGAATAAATCTTTTGTGTCTCAAACCATCGCTCGTTACCATGACACTAGTAGCGTAGCTCGACGTCAAGGAATTGGACGGAAGAAAACAGCAACATCAGCAAAAATGTTTCGAAAAGTAAAGAAGCGACTTGATCGAAACCCACACCGCAGTGGCCGAAAAATGGCTGGTGAGTTGAACATATCGCAATATTCCATTCAGCAAATAATGAAAAATTAGCTCGGGGTAAAAACATTGAAATTCCAAAAAGTGCAGGAACTTACACCGCAACAGAAAAAAAAAAGACTCAGAAGAGCTAAAGAGTTGCTTCGGTTGGCCGAAAGTGGTGAACAGCCGAATTTGTTTTTTTTTCCGATGAGAAAATATTCGTTGTCCAGCAGTTTGTAAACAAACGAAATGATCGTGTTTACTTGCTAAAGAGGTCAGCTGAAAATGTGCATCTTCGGTTGGTCACCAGCACTCAAGCGCCGGCCATGGTCGCTCTTCGCTCGTATTATCGCGATAATATTCTGGAGGCCGTATTACAGCCTTGGGCACGTAAACATTTTGGCCCCAGACCTCTCTGCACACCACCACCACCCAAGAATGGTTACAAAATGAGGTTCCTCGCTTCATTTCCGCTTCCAGAGCACAATGACCACCAAAATCTCCGGATAACAATCCATTGGACTATTGTGTCTGGAGTGTTTTGGAAAGCAAGGTTGGCAGTAAAAAATACCAAAGTGTCGATCGAAATGTCAAGTAAGCGCTTCGCCGGGAATGGGCCAAAATACCGCAGAGCAACATTCGGCAGTGTGTGACGGTTTCAGTGGCCGCTTGAAGTCCATAATTCGTGCCAAAGGTGACCAATTCGAACAAATCTAATCTTATTCTAAAATTTGATGTTATTGCCGACATTTTTTGCTTTCATTCAATAAAATTTAAAAAAAATGTAAAAATTATGGCGTTTGACGTCGTTGCAGTTTTTTATATCACAATAATATTCCTTCGGAACCTACTCCATAGAGGGTCATCAATTTTAATAATCATAACAGAAGTCAAAATTTATTTCAATTATCGAAAATTGTCAAATTTTTTTCTACAGAAAAAAATGCCTCAGACCTGACAGAAGCCCAGTTTTTTTCTATCAAAAAAAATGTCTCACAATCGACAGAGGACCAGATTTTTTCTATCAAAAAAATTCCTCAGACCTGACTGAGACCCAGACTTTTTTTATAAAAAATGTCCTATAGAAAAGACTTAGACCTGACAGAGTCACGTATTTTTCTATCACAAAAAAATGTCTGAGACCTGAATGAGGCCCAGATTTTTTATACCCTCCACCAAACTATGGAGGGTATATTAACGTTGTCATTCCGCTTGTAACTCCTCGAAATACTCACGTCAGGCCCAACAAAGTATATATATTCTTGATCAGCGTAAAATTATATGACGATTTAGCGATGTCCGTCTGTTTATCCGTCTGTCTGTCTGTCCGCCTCTCTGTCTGTTGTAATCACGGTATCTTTCGAACGAATTGAGAAAGACGGCTAAAATTGTGCACACATGTTTATTTTTCCAGTAGGCAGGTTAAGTTCGTAAATGGGCCATGTAGGTCCACGTTTTCATATAGCCCCCATATAACGGTACCTCCCGATATTCGGTATTTTGATGATTTTAGCGACATTATTCACCGGAATTGTTTCAAATTTGGTATTTGAATTTCGTAATGGATACTACAGCATAAGGCAGCAATTTGTCTGTGCAGGTCCACGTCTTCGTATAGCCCCCATATAACGGTACCTCCCGATATTCGGTATTTTGATGATTTTAGCGACATTATTCACTGGAATTGTTTTAAATTTAGTGTTTGAAGTTTGAAATAGATACTACAGCCTAAGCCAGAAAAGTGTATGTGCAGGTCCACGTCTTCGTATAGCCCCCATATAACGGTAGCTCCCATATTCGGTATTGTGATGATTTTAGCGACATTATTCATCGGAATTGTTTTAAATTTGGTATTTGAAGTTCGTAATGGATACTACAGCCTAAGCCAGAAAATTGTCTGTGCAGGTCCACGTCTTCATATATCCCTCATATAACGGTACCTCCCGATATTCGGTATTTTAATGATTTTAGCGACATTACTCACCGGAATTGTTTCAAATTTGGTATTTGAGGTTCGTAATGGATACTGCAGCCTAAGACAGACAATTGTCTCTGCAGGTCCACGTCTTCATATAGCCTCCATATAACGGAACCTCCCGATATTCGGTATTTTAATGTTTTTGGTATAATACTCACAGAAATTGTTTGAGATGTCGTATTTGAAGTTCGTAATGGATGATACAGCCTGTGACAGATATATAACGGTACCTCCATAAATACGGTATTTTGATGAGTTTAGCTACATTGTTCGCCGTTTATTTCAAGTTTCGAATTTGAATATGGTAATGGGTCATGACAACAATGTCTAGGTAGGTCCATGTAGTGTAGACCCCAATTAATGGCTATATTCGGTATTTTTAAGGTTTTAACAGAATTTTTAACGGATTTTATTTTTTGAAAATTTCCAAATTCGTTCAAATGTCGGAGGGTATTCAAAGTTCGACCCGGCCGAGATTACGGCTATTAAACTTGTTTAGTCTACCGACTTAGTAACTCGGGGGTCATGCATCAATTTTTAGAAGGCCATGCGTATTGTGTGCTGTCTTTACTCATTACTTGGTAAGATATAATTAATTTTCCATTTGCATTTTTATTGAAATAATGCATTTGCTTACTGGTATGTAGTTGTTGTTACTAGCAGTGCTACACATGTGCTTGCCTAATTTTTATTAATGCATCTCATCCTTTATGTTGCTGAGAAATTTTCAAAAAGTTCCTATTTCCCAATGACGGAAATATCCGCAAATAATTTTTCCCCAATGGGAAAATTCCCCCGTTGAAAATTATAAAGTTTCCGCACATTTTGGAATATCCTTACAAATTAATATTGATCGCAGGTAGGCAGATGAAGTCGACACATTCTTATAGGAAATTTCGTTTATTACAAGAATCTGATGTCTAAAAGCAGGTAGCTGACTTCACACTATCAATGCATAGCAAAGTAGAGTGTCACTACTGTCTACTCTGCCGTTTTATACAGCCATTTTTCTTATTTCCAAATTATTTGCTCTCATTGTTCTCAACCTGCCCTCTCTTTGCTGTTTTTACTGTTCTCCAAAATAGTAGATTTTTTGTATTATTTTTCTGTTTTCCTTCTCCTCCTCTCCTTCTTCTCTACAGCTCCTTTATGATTTTTATCATCACATTTTGCTCCACACGAACGAACGAGAAAAGGTTTATGGCCTCTGGTTTTGTGTGTTTTCGTTGTATTCTTTTTTATTCGTATTTTTCGTTTGAGTTTTATTTTGCTCAGAATGAAAACACCATAAAAAACAGCAACAACAGCTCCAACAACAACAACTCATGTATTCATAAGATACAATTCTATGGATTTGAATGGTCTGTCTGTCTTCCCCCCCATTTTTTCTTTCGATTTTCGTTCAAAACATTCATTATCGTCATTATGATCATCGTTTTATGTTCCTTCTTCTTAGCGCGCACGACAAACAATTGTGTTGTTTTTGTTGTTTTCGTTCGTTTTTTGCTTCTTTCGTTCACACTCAGAGCAGCTCACACATGCACACAGATACAACACATGGACATTCTATTTGACTGACATATCTCATTATTAAATCTGATTGCTTTGAGAGACATTCATTTGATTTCAACGTCTCTTCGAGTGAGCAGCAAAGCGGCAAGCAGGCAAGCAATCTGACTGACTAGCCTGACGGACTGAAGACAGCGGCCTGTTGTTGTTGGTATGACAGCCGAGGGCTGTCGTCGTGAATCTCGTCTGTCCATTTGCAATAATAATTCTCATTGCGACAATCTGAATAGCGGATGCTGTTAAAATACAACACACACACACACAGATACACACCCATACATGCGCCGATAATCGTCACATTGGGCCGATGAGGTGCAGTGTTGGGTAACGTTTTTTTTTAATTCTCTTGATTTTGTGGATGCAAAAAAAAAGGTTGCTTGGGTGAGTAGGGATGCCGTTACAGTCTGAAAGACCTAACCAAGGTCGGTCGGGTAGAGAAGGGTCTTAAGCACAAGAGGGCTTGGGAAAATTCAAATTGAGTAATTTTTATAAATATTTTCCAGAGTGAGATATTTTACCATGGTTTTGGGGAAATATTTCCAATGTATGGATGTTATATTAACTTTGTCATTCCGTTTGTAACTTCCGACAGACATTAAAAGTTCGGTCAGGCCGATTTTTT